ACTTACTGAAGCACATACAAGGCATTTATTGAAGTTATTTGTAAAAGTAAACAATGACACCGTCAAATTAATTTCGAAAACTATGAAAGTCTGATATTGAATCATTTCTTAAGTGAATTCAATTGGATCTTTCAATTTCTTTCTCAATAAGATAGTCTTATTATTGAACGCATCTCATTTCGTAAAATATTCAATGTCCTCGATGTTTAGAATGACTGGTAAATCCTCGTATTCTCGTCCATTAAAATTTGAAACCCATAAAAAAGCTAGAAGCTATCAATTATTTGATTTCCGGGCATGCAATTCTGTGATTATATTCACGGCAGTTCAAAACTGTGTAATGCCTCCCTTCAAATCTGACATAGCATTAGCATAGTGATTAACCCGGTTTGAAGATCAAAGTAGTGTTGTAATCACGACTTCTTCATTAGCATTCTGTTCAAAAAACATTTACTCGATGAAGATATTTATTTGATTGCACTTTATTTGATTGCACTTTGAATTTCTAAGCATTTGCGTTTTGCTTGCAAAAGTGCCGATGTAGGATGTTGCAGTTTTGCAATTCTATTACCTAATGCAATTACTAGGTCCCTCTTCAATTTAAAAACCTCATTATACCATTCATTGATTGGAGCATCTACTCAATAGAGATATGAAATATAGGAAAGAACTTTCTTTTCAATTATAAACTAGATTATTTTAATACTTGATCATTTATTTTTTAATCTATAATAAATATAGTCAATTTTCTATTAAACTATATTTAAATATTTAATAATTCTAATTAATTTTAATTTATTAACTGTCATATTAGTAGTTCCACATTTTATTAGTAAGAAGAAATAAATAAGAATAAATAGAATGGGAATTTAGATAATATTTTGAAAGTATTACCTCTTATCACTTTAATTAAAATTAAAAGTCTACTTATATGAATAAAAATATTAAATGTGTAAGACTGGGATCGAACCAGTATATATTGCTTAAAACGCAATAGTCTTAACTATTAGACGACTAACTCAAGGCCAATATACACCCATAAAAGGAAGATATAATGTAGGCTGTAGTTGGCGCCAAGAATGTTCAATGTAATACACCCGGTGACAATATTTGTTCCAAAAAATAATGGATAATTATAAAGGACCTTAAGAAAGATTTTAGAAGAAAGCTGCAACGCTGAAAAAAGATTCGCTCAGAAAATTCCTTGTGCGATACAAATTCTTTTTGTCACCTTTCGAATTAGGATCAGCACCTTCATATAGCATCTCCCAGTATATCTTTATTTCTCCTGTTTGTCCTTTAATAGACTATAACCTCCCGAAACACACGTCATTCACTTTATAGAGATAAAACATATGAAAAATAAATAAAAACGCAATATATAAAAGTAGAAAACAATTAATATCCTCAATTTATCTCTTTCACTGAGAGTTGGATATTGGTTTTAAAGCCTCCAACTCATTAAAAAATACAGGAATATTGATGGTTTCATGCCAACGTTCTGGCTTTAACTGTTGTGATTCAACGATACCCATAGTCTCGTGAGATAGTCTCATAACTATTTAAGACTGCGTAGTCAACATCTCAAATTTGACTCTCTATGTACGAAAAAAACATGGCCTGTAGCGCGACGGGTACCAGAAGTTTTGGTAGGTGGTTAACATTTCTAACCTTCAAAAAAAATTATACATTCTAATATATAAATTACATTATGCACCGTTCTGTATACGCCTTGCATATGCCAGTGGCTAGAATATATGTAATTACATGCACTAATGGCTTCTAAATACACTTATTGTGGGATAGAATAAAACAAAGAAATAATAATCGTTGCCCCTTACCCACCCTTTCAGGATTTTCGAATCGATAATATGGTTTTAATTGATAATTCTTGAGTTTTGCGGTTGTAACAATGAAAGCTTCCTAATAAATATGTAAAAGCCCATTGGGTTGACCCGCCAAGTGGTCAATTATCCACATTTCGAAAATCTGATACTTGAACAAGAGTATTTCAATCTTTTCTTTAATATAAAATTTTTGTATGGAGCAGTCTCGTTTCTATCCAATTGTAGGGTATAGTTTGATAGTTATTGATCAAGGGTTATCCTCAATTAGCTCCCCAAGCTAATTTTGCTCTGTGTATTAATATCTAGGCTATCATCTGCCATGGATCAAGATACAAATAATAAAAGAAATCTATTTTAAATTCGCAAATAACGGAGTTTGCAGACCATTAGATTTGCTGTGATGACCTAACGTTCGGGTGGTTTATTTTATTATATGGACTATATTGTCTTGAAAGATAACTGAATTGTAATAATACATGCGCGAACAATTGGGGACCAAAGTTCGTGATATATATAATTTTTATGTTTAATCGAATGTGGAATGTTACACCATGTCTTTCAAATCTTTTCATTTGTGCGGTCGATCATTGAATTTTTGTGGCCCAAGCTCATGGTGTATTTGAGGAAGATAATTCCTAGTTGTTTCTAAGGACGACGTTTAAGAATTTTATTCGATGTTTAGTACTTCGAATTGGCGGGTAGATGTAATTAGATGATCAGGAAGACTTTCACTATCCTCAAAGGGATAGGGATGCTGAGGTGTAGGCAAAGCATATTTTTCGTATTATACTAAAAAGCAGCTCTATATATCTATAAACCTAACCCCATATACCTAAAGGATGGTTATCAAGTGATACTAATTTTTTTATTCTCCGTACTAAAAGTCCTACGCTAACTGGCCCAAGAAATGTACAAAGAACAATAGCCCATGTGACAATAATATAAACATCAGATGATGAGCCTTCCTTGGGCTCACTATTAGGAGAAAACACACCTTTCGCTTCGGC